ACAGCACCACCAGTTAGGCGAGACATTTTCATCCCTTCCCTCATATATACTCTCTCAGGATTAATCTTCCACTCTTCATTCTTTCCTCTTATCTCTCCAAATCTGTGTGATAGATGAGTAAGAAGGATGTGCATTTTGACTGAAAGGAAAAACTTCTGTTTTCTTCTTTTTCACTTCAAGCCTCAGTGATTACATTGTCTGAGCTACCTCAAGCATTAATTTGAAAGGCTACACCATCAACTCATGTTCAAGAAGTAGCACATCCCAGGTAGAGACTAGGCAATTATTTGACACTTGGGATGAACATATTGAAAGCATTTAGAAATCATTCACAGAAGAAATTAGCCCTAATGGTTCTTCATAACAACTGATTCCTCCAAGAAATGTGACACACAGGATATTTTTCTGTTCCATCGCAAGACTATTAAGAGATGGAAAATTTTACAATTCTCTATTTCATAAACAGTGAGATTACATATATACTAAGCTGTGAAAGACTGAAATTATAAAAATAACTGTCCTCATTAAAGCAACCCTCATTCCATTTGAGTCTATATTATACCCCCAAAAATATAAGTGAAAAAAGTTACTGAAAGTGTTTTGAATGTGCAGGTTATTCTGTTTGTAAAACATTTTATATTTATATCAATAGGGTTTTGTTGTGTAATACTGATATAATATTTAAAAGTTTTGTGTATTTCTGAGATAAGAAAATGTAAATTAATATTAAAATATTTTAATGAGTTTTTGTGTTGTAAACATAATTTTTAGTTTCATAAAACTGATTCAAGTGAATTTTTTGTGTGTAAAACATGAACTATCATAGCTTTAAATAGCAGCCAACCTTAGAAAAATGAAAAAAACTATTTGCATTTAATATAAAAATGAGGTTTATATTTTAGGTAAAAAGTAGAGCACTTCCCCATTTACAAAAATGGCTTTCCACTTGGTAGTGGTGGCAATACCTGGTTCACCTCAGTGTCATCTTCATACCTCCAGAGCACCAGGGAACATGGTTTGTTTCATAGCAGAATATATATATAACACATAAACACACAGTGCTTTGCAGGCAGTGGAGGGGACAGTAAATCAATCAAATCGGAATTTCATAAATCATTATAGTTTCTCTTAGGAAGACATTCTGGTATGCTATCTTTTACACGGGGGGTTGGATTTCTGGGCATAAGCCTCATATAAGGGTGATAGGGCACATGATCTGTCTGAGAGCCTGCTCCAACTTCTTGCCAGCAGGTGGACTGTAAAAGGACCAGAGTTAGCTACAGCAACAAACCATGAAAGTGAGTGACAATGACATTTATTGTTTCCTGTGGCCTTGCTTTGGTTTGCTTCTGACTGGCAGCACTTGTAGCTTTAAATACATCGAGGAAGTAGGAGAGAGTAAATGGGAGAAATGTTGAGTAAGTCCTTCTTGAAAATGCTTTTCAGTGCAAGAATATTACTGTTAAAATTTTCACTGCCTTTTAAAATTTGAGATGTGCTTAGATTATTCAAGTTATCTCCCAAAAGCCATTCTAAATTCTAAAAAGACAAAAATTAGTACTTGTCAAATAACTAGCATATTAATTTTAACTCAAATTTATGACCTAGTATCAGTATGTTTAATACTCCAATTTTTAAAAAAGATTTTGTTTTTAAGTAATCTCTACACTTAATGTGGGGCTCGAATTCACAACCCCGAGATCAAGAGTAGCATGCTTTACTCACTAAGCCAGCCAGGTATCCCTAATACTTCCATTTTTTAACACTTGAAGCAAGTGTTTATTATTTAAAAAAAATTTTTTTAAATATTTATTTTTGAGATAGAGACAGAGCATGAGGAGGGAGGGGCAGAGAGAGCGGGAGACACAATCAGATCATGCGAGATCACGACCTGAGCCAAAGTTGGACGCTTAACCTGCTGTGCCACCCAGGTGCCCTGTATTATTTTTAAAATGTTTTTTAATTAATCAGTGTTTTGAAAAGTACAACATTCATATGGTTGAAAATTCAAAATGCCCCAAATGTACTCCATGAAAGAATCTCCTCTCCTCCAAGCCACCCAGTTCACTGATTCATGAGGCAACAAAAATTGTCAGTATCTCTTGTGCAGCCTTGCAGAGATATTATACATAAAAAAATATTGCCTCCATTTCTTTTCACACAAGTGGTAGCATACTCTGCATACTAGATTATACACCCTGCTCTTTTCACTTTGCACTGTCTCTTTGATAATGTTCAAGCGACCTGAACACAGTGGCCTGGTTCTTTTCAAATGATTTTATAGCTTCCATTCTGCGAATTTACTATTATTTGTTGAACCAGTCCCTGATACCTACTGACAATTATTTAAATTGTTTATTTCTCGGGCATTTTTGTTTTGCTTTTGGTGTGACAGTACTGCAATCAATAACTTTGTGTTAAATCATTTCACATTCGAGCAAGTGTGCCAAAAGGACATATTCTTCGAATTTGCTGGGTCAAAGGGTATGTGCCTTTGCAACTTTGATAGTGTCAAGTTGCCTTTGGTAGAGGTTGAACCAATTTAAGCTCTCACCAATAATATATTAGAGTATCTGTTTCTTCATATTCTCACCAACATAGTATATCATCAAACTTTTGGATCTATGCAGCTATTCTAATAGGTAAAAAATAACGGTATAATTTAAATTTAAATTTCTTGTAATATGAGTAAAGTTGAGCATCTGTACTATGTTTAAGAGACATATTTCATTTTCTGTGAACTGTGTTTTTTCGTATTTGCTATCCTTTTTTTCCCCTAAAGTTTGGTCCTATTAATTTGTAGAAACTCTTTTAGATATTGGGGAAATAAACTATTTAGAAAATGAGTTACAAACATTTTTTCCAGTTTGTCATCTGCTTTTTGCCTTACCTTGTGATGGTTTTTGTTTTTGCCACACATTAAAAAAAAATGGATTTACCAATCTTCTAGATTTTATATCATAGTAGGTCTTTTGTACTCTGAAATTATAAACAAATTATTTTATGTTTTTAACTTTTTACATTTAAGTCTTTGATACATAATGGAATTTATCCTAGCGTATCATGTGGGGTATGGATCCAACATTTTTTTCTAGATGGCCCTTTTGTCTGGTTGGGATTTTTACAGGAGTAATTCTTGGATTATCCCCCTCATGCAGGTGGATCACATTTCTGTTTGCCTAGCTCAGAGATCACAACTCAGATGCCTGTAGAGACTAGGCAGGTTACATAAAAGCGTGAAGAGTGCCAGGTAGGGAGTATAGCCAACTGGAAATGGGATGGCATACTTTTCTAAAGAGGGCAGCCACTACCGACTGCCTGCTTGCTGACTATTCCTTTGCAGGAATGCAGCAGCACCCAGTGTTGCTGGATTTTTGTCCAGAAGCTGGAAATCCATTTTTATATGAAATCTCTTGATTTAAAAATATTAACAATTTTAAAATTTAAATATAGATTTGGGTAAACAGAATGTGTCTTCAGCCAAATTTGACTCAGAAGGCTTCCAATATCCTCCTTGGCCAAGAATGAAACTTCCTACTGACCACTTTACTCTCTTGTAAGAAAATATAATGACAGTCTCGTTTGACAGCCTAGTAGTTTACAGCTGGAGTTCCGGACGAGGAGAGAAAAGTAAAAAACCGTCTGTATAAGTCAAAGTCTGCCGTCACTGAAAAAGTAATTGGAGAAATACAAGCATTTTACTATCCTACCCTTTATCCCAAGTACATGGGAATGTGGATGTGACTTTATTAGAAGAAATTCGTGATTCCGTGGGTACTTGGATTAGAAAAATAAATTTTCCAACTCTGTCTTTCCGATTTTTGCCAAATGACAAATTGAGGTGTGTTTGAGAGGAGGATAATTGTTGAGTTACTGATCCTGGAACTGAAGTATACAGCATGTACTCCCCCGCCCCGCCGCCCGTTCTTTCTTTCCCTTCCTCACTGGTGGCTGAGGGCTTTCCGCGTCTCACCTTTCAATCCCCAAAACATCACACTATGAAATAGTTAACTACCTCCTATGTATACACATACGTTAAACATCGTGTCCAGCCCGAATGTCCCTTTCTCTCCCCGTCCTGAATTGCTTCCCATGACTGTCGTCCTCGAAGAGTGGCACCGAGTCAGGATTGTCTTGGGAAGGTCGAGAGAAGGGAGCGTTCGTGTTAGACACAGTAAGTTGAAGAGTCGATCTGGGACAGGCCCCCAGCAAGTCCCTAGCACAGGCCGACACCCACGGCCGGGCCCCCGCGCCTCTGAAAGTCCGCGACCGGCCGGCGCCTCTGCCTGCTCCGCGGCGCGCATGCTCCGTGCGGGGCTTCTCCGGCGACCCGGGATAATGAGCGCCGGGCCGAGGGGGCGGGCCGAGAGGCGACTGCTGGGGCCCGGAGCTCGGCGGCGGCCCCGGGGCGCTGTGCGCGGCGTCTGAAGGGGCGGCGGCGGCGGTGGCCAGCACTGTGCGCGCCAGAGTGTGGCTCGCTCGCCCGATCCCCAGGGCCCTCTGGAGGTGACTCGAGCGGGCCGGGCGGCGTTGCCTGTTGGGAGGGCGGGAATGAGGCGATGAAGAGACGAGCTGCCGCCGCCGCTCTCCGCCTGCCGCGGCCGTAGCGGTAGTTGGGGCGGCGGCGAGGGCGAGGTCAGCTGTACCCCGCGCGGGACTGCGAACCCAGACAAAGGAGGAGGAGCCGCCCGAGGAGCGGGCCAACGCCGCCGGGAAAGGAGGCCGACGTCTCGGTCGCAGCTGGGGGTAGCCCGGGTTCTCGGGCCGCCGCGCTTCCTCTGCGGACTCTGCGCGAGGCGAGGCCGCCCGGGCCGAGGAAACCGCCCCCGGAGCCCCCGCCCGCCCGCCGGCGCCGCCCCCGAGCCGCCTCGGCCGTAGCTGCGGCCCGGGCGGCGGCGGCCGGCGAGGCGAGGCGGCCCGCGCCCTGCCTGTCAGGCCACCCGCCCGGCCCGGCTCGGTCCGCGGGCCGCCTCTGATGCAGAGGCGCTGCCGCCGGGGCCATGCAGCAGGCGCCGCAGCCGTACGAGTTCTTCAGCGAAGAGAACAGTCCGAAATGGCGGGGACTGCTGGTCTCGGCCCTGCGGAAGGTCAGTGCCGCTCCTGGGCGGCCGCGGGGGCCCAGGGAGGTGCCGGGGCGGCCGCGAGCTGCGTCTGCGGAGCCCAGCAGCAGGCGGGCGGGGGGGTGCCGGGCCCGGGGCCCCCTGCGAGCTTCTAACGGAGAGCCGCACATCCTCCCAGTGCCCGGGTCCCGCGGGTCCAGCTGTTGCTCAATGGCTGGCTGTGGGGGGGGGCTCCACAATCGCCTGTTGCATCCAGAAGGACGTTTTCTCAAGTTTTTGCCTGGCCCCGGAAGGAAGGTTTTGTTATGATCATAAAAATGGATTTCATGTTGCAGTCATTTTGTCAGGCGACTTCCGCCGTTGGCCAATTTGTTGTCCTCAGGCTGGATTCGGGCAGGAGAAAGTCTCGCTGGTGTTTACATAGTTTCTAAAACAAAAGTTCATTTCCAGACCTGGTAATTACTTTTAATCAGGTTCTTTGGGGGTGTTCCCCTAGGCAGTTTGCTTGTCAAGTGTGTCCACTCACTTAAGGGGCAGTACTGTTTTGTAATATGAATGTGTTTCACGTGTGAAATGTCAGTGAGCCGTAAGACTCCTTTTACAATTCTTGAGGTAAATTTAAAGTGCCTTCTTAACTTCCTGCCAGAAGTGTCTTATCTGTTTACAAGAGATTTCCCCTATAAAATTTGGTGTTTCTTCACTGGGTGCAGTTTAGAACTTGGAATCATTTTAAGGGGGCAAAAAAGGGGCAGCTCATAAAAATCAGTCTTTCAAGTTTGGGTGTATATCGCCTGAGTGCATCTCTCCTGTAGGTGATGTCGGTCTTCGTTTGTGCATTTAGATAGTAATCACACTGTCATTTTTAAAATAAACCTTTTTGTAAAGTCAAGACAGAGACTGCAGGATTAGACATGACACCTGCTGAACATGGGCTTCCATTGCCATTGATGCAGGTTTAGCCCCATCCGCATTTTGTGCAAAATAACCAAGAATAAACTTCAAAATAATAAAGAAAAATAAACATTAACTTAAAAGACTGCACTTGGAAAATAAATGTTCATACAATACACTTCTGTAAGTGAAAGGAAGAGGTATATTTTAAAAGTAAAAACATTTTCCACCTGCATTCAGTTTTAGATTTTCCATTGTTTTCATAATTCTTACAAGGAGATACTGCCTCCCTTGGGCCAAACACCAAGTCATGTCTTTTTAGAGAACTTAGTGGAGGTAACCAGTGGCAGTTATCATTTCATTGGCATGCTGGGTGTTGAAGTATTAAATTGACTTTACTTCCATGGGCAGCCTGATTCTAAACGGAGGGGGAAAGAAACGGGTATGTGCTGAGTAGTGATAATGAACTCTGGCCTGAGTTGAAAGTAAAGGGGGATATGCTTAGATAGTAATTGACTTGTCCGTGAACAGTTGCACTCAGCAGAAGTGTGAGTGCAGTTATCAGGTAGGCATGTATTGTTGGCAGTGTGACGCACGTATCTACCTACAGGTACTTTCTGGTAGCAAATAGTCTTTGAATGTATGTTGCATAACTTATTCAGTAGGTAGCTTTTACCCTAATGATCCTGCATGCACAGATTTACTTCTTCAGGTTAGGCTAGAAACAAAGCCAGAACAAGCCTGCTAGTCCATTGCTTTGAGACTGTTATTTTGCATTTATTTTCTGTGCTTGTATACCTGGAGCTCAGTTGTCTTGTAGATTTGTATTGTCTTATACCACAGTTCTCGTATATCCCATGCTTATGGAATCAATACATCTAAGAAAATGTGGTCTTAGGAGGTGAATTGAATTCAAAAAGCAATTTTTATTTAATTCATTAATTTACTGTTATTATAGAATTGAGATATATTCCTAAGGAAGACATTTTTCATATTTTGGGAAAATTTTTGGTGTTAGTAATTTGAATTACGTTCAGTTTTGTGGCATTTGGGTATTTGTGGTATTGCAACATGTAGGTTTGTAGTGCCTGCTAAGAGTTACAGTTCATAAAGAGTTCAAGGTTCACTCTTTCTTTGTAGGATGTGTTACATTCTGGTATGTGTCTGCCACCCATACCTTTGTACAATGAGAAATCCTGCCATTTCCTGGGACGCTCTGTCTTTACTTTGAAAGCCTCTAGAATTTGGCTTCCTTCAGCTGACAGATAGTTATAAAGACGACCAGGATTAGTAATTGACTTGTAGCAGTAGTTTAGACCACTAGGATTTTTCTCCTCCAGTTGGTTTTTCCTCCATCGAACATGTGGTATACTTCATTTTTTTTCTTTTTTTACTGCGCTTTATTTTTATCCCTGCATTTTTAAAAATTGAAGTATAATTGCAATTAACATTAATTGAACACATTTTAGGTATTTGGCACCATGCTGGAACTAAAATTACACAGATGAATAAAAGCAGGGGCCCCACTCTAAAAGTGTTTACCATCTACACTGAGAATTCTAAACTTTCTCGTTTTGGTTTATATAAATAAGATAGCATTTAGGAACTCAAAGTTATGTAAAGAATATCTGTGTGCGTGTGTGTGTGTGTGTGTGTGTGTGTGAGAGTGTGTGAAAAGAGCAATGTAGTTCAATTGGCTCTATCAGATTCTACTTGGTGGAACCTCGAAAACTTGAAGTATAATTTTCAGAAAAGTAAAATCATAACTGTCATGCAAATATAAATGAACATGTGTTAGTGAGTTTGATTTAATGCATTCCTTAATGAGGGAACTCACAAGATGTTAAGCTTCTTCATATGAAAATTTTAGGAGGTAGGTATTTATAGATCATTTAAAAGTAGTATTAAGATTGTTGGGTAAGATACAAAATTAGTTAATATCCTATAGGAATATAAACACTGAGTTGTGGATTGTCTTTTCTGTTGATTTGAAATTATCTGTTTCTGTACCAGACAAAACATCTCTATGTTAATCTTACAGATTTCTAAAATAATGCAGTCATTACGGAGTAATCAGAGCTTTGAGTACAGCATTGTACTGAAAGACACCTAGTAATCTCTTTTGCTTATTTTCAAGTTTTGGCTAATTTTTATGAAAATCAAATAATATGGTAAAGTCACCATTGTTGGCCCTGGAAACTACAGGGGTTTTTTTGTTTTGTTTTGTTTTGTTTTGTTTTGTTTTTAAGAGAAAGCGCACACGTGAGCTAGGGAGAGGGGCAAAGGGAGAGAGAGAGAGAGAAAGAGAGAGGGAGAAAATCTCAAGCAGGCTCCACATCCACGTCAGAGTCCAGCTCAGGGCTTGATCCCACAACCCTGGGATCATAAACCGAGCCAAAATCAAGGGTTGGATGCTCAACTGAGCCACTGAGGCACCCCAAAACCACATTTTTAAAACCAACTTTAAATATGTATTTCGCTACATAGAAACACTAACATTGAAAAATAGATTTATGGAAAAATGATTTTGAAAATAAAAATGTGTTCTGTCACTTTTTGTTTTGTTTTTGTTCTTTCACTTTTTGTTGTTGTTATTTAACTTTTATAACAGAACTTCATGTAGAGCATTTACATACGTAAAGAACTAGAGAGGGTAAAGCAGAGGGAAATGACATTACTAATGGATGATACATGATTGTTAACATTACTGCTAAATTATGTATCTTCCCTAAAAGAGCAAGAAACATAAATGCCTTCACCACTACTCCCTAAGAAAATTGAAGCTATCATATTACTTGGGAGGAAAAAAGAGCACAGGAGTATACTTGTAAGTGCAGCTTATTACCTATGTCTTTGAAATGCCTTTGGTACTTTGTGTATGTGCTATTGATTGTATGCTGCGAAAAATCAGTGTAAGCATTCTACGTATGGGAAACATACCTTAAAATCATTTTAACAGTGTTTTAGTCCCTGATGTTTCCCTTGTGGATGTCTTTTCCTTCAGGTGTTCTTCACCAGGCTAATTATGGAAAAGAAAATATCTGATGTCTTACTATCTGTAGCTACAAATGTCATAGAGAGAAAGAATTGGTTGAATTACATTGTTCCTGATTCTAACTTAATTAGGTTAAATATGAACTCCCCACCCCAGATGTTACAGTTTGCTCTTAGATAGCTGTCTAAAATATAAGAGGTATGAGAGAACGTCTGAGTTAATTAAATAGCAGTCTGTGGCAAGGAAAAAGAGGGTCGGGGGTTTTGGTTTAGAAATGCTTTTGTGAATTCTGTAAGATCTAGTGTTTCTGCCTTTGTACTAATGTCTCCTGGAGCCATTTTAGAAAACTGCTCTGGATCTTTCTGGGGCCCAGAAAAAAATCATTGGGTGCTTTGAGAAAATAAACTTGGTGTCACTAACATAAGAAGGTGAAGGAAGGCTTTTCTAGGGAAGTAACATCTGTGCCGAGTTGTGGAGGATATATTCAAATATTTATTGAGTGCCTCATAGGTTCCTGGCACTACTCTTGATAGGTTGTAGTAAGGCCCCTGCTCTCATAAAGCTTCCCTTCTAAATGGCTGTGTGGGAGAGGACTGAGAAAGACAATAAAGAAGTAAACAATTATCTGAAAGATCAATAGGAGTTGACAAAGAAAGGGAGTGGGGGTGGAGAAAGAGTTTGAGACTGAGGGAAAGGTAGGAAACACGACTTGTTTTAAAGAACCAAGATGAAGTGAAAAGAAGAGGCTAGTTGGTAAGACCAGGTTAACGTTTCTACCTGAAAATACGAAGTCCTGTAGTGTTATTTATGTAACAAAATAATTAGATTAACTTGATCAAATTGCTTTTTTAAAAGATAACTGCAACTGAAAACTAGCAACAAATAGGATATCCTATGATTTTTTGTGACGTCAGTCCTGTTCTGGATTTCCTAAAGCCAGTGAATATAAAAGTAGAACTCCAGGGAGTCATTTGGAATTATTCCAAACTAGTAATGACCCAAACTGACCCAAGGGGTTCAGCCAGAACTGGATGAGCATTAGGAATGCATTTTAACTTGCTGCATTTAGTTCCCTGTCAGCCATGATTTAGTAGTCGTCCTCCATTTTCAGTTTAATTTTGGTATGGTATATTTGGAGCGA